GCTGGCTTACAGGAATATAATCCTTTCCCACCTCTCATACACAAGCATATGAGGAAATTATTTACCAAGGAATTTCTTCTTCTTCGTTAATATCTTGTCTGTGCGGAGTGAAAAGGACACACAATAAGTACAACACTCAGATGTAGTTCAATTTGATCCATAACGATATGCAATCATTTATTTACATAAATCAAACAAATCATGAGTTAACAACTTAATTGTGGGTAATCAGTTTCTTATTACAAGCTTTCAGAATTAATAAGATATAAATCTGCATCCGAATTCAATCCATATCAACTCAAATTACTTATAATAGAACAGTAACGTCAGTTCTGATGTTAAATAAACCAAACATTTACTGGCATATTACTTAGATTCTGGCAAGGCAAATAGTGCAACAAAAGAAGGAAAAAGTAAGGTTAGTATTTCTAATGTTTTACTTTTTATGAAAATGTGAGTCAACCGGATCTGCACGTCTTTTCTCAACCCAGTTTCCGCTGGACCCGATCACCAAAACACTTCAGCTTTTTTACCTGATGATGACTTCTTTAGACACCTTCTGAGTAGTAAGGCTGGCTCACCTCTGATCAGTCAGAAAGACTGTTGTCGGTCCGCTCACCAGTCATTGGCAAAACATGTGTTATTTATCCGGTAATCTTTCTGGTCTGCCTCAGTCCTGAGACAGAAAATCGAGCTGAATCCGGTTTCTCCTTCAAAATAAAATCACCTTCACGACGGAAGGGGAAAATAATTGCTTTGGAGGTTTTGAAACCTTGCGTGGGAATCCGACAGGCTTGTCGAATCCTTGGCTGTAAAAATCCCCTCTTTGGCGCTTGAGTTGGATTTTCAGTTCACAAGCTGAGTTCCTCCGAAGAGGAGCAACAGCTATTTCCTTGTTTTAGTAAGGAAGTCAGAGTGTGTCCCTCAAAGCTGTCCGGGTTAGTGATAAGAGCGGACAACTTTGGGTTCCCGCCCTCAGGCTTAAAGATGAGTCAGAGAAAAGGAAAGCTAAAGATTTCGCCAGGCGCCAGTCAAGGTTACTGTATGGTTGAGCAAACAAACAACATGATAACCTCTTTTTAACTTTCTTCTGATAGAGCCCAAATGAAATCACTGGAAAACATTTATAATGATTAGCTGCAACATTTCTGTCCATAATCAACTCTAAACCACCTTGTTAGTTCAGACAAATGAACAATTTTCTCAGGAAAAATCCACAATTTATATTACTGTGTTCACAGTAAAATAAAAACAGTGATTTGCATAAAAACACAAAGAAAACATTGTAATCAGATTCTCTGTGATTTTTTATACCATTAAAAATCTTTAAGGCACGTTAAGAGAAAAGAAGTTGTTCTACTTTTCCTGTGACAGTCATTATCATTGATTTAACAAATGGATAAACATTCTTAGTTAAATGACAAATGAATCACAAACAAAGGAGATTGTTCTGTCCATTATCTGATTAAGAGAACAGTGTTCTCTTCCACGGTTAGAATGACCTGTCATGGCCTAAATAAAGTTCAGAGTGTAACAGAGTTCCTGTCTTCTTCTCAGGCTCATCCGAGGCCCGCTTAGATGCAGAAAATCTTGTTTCTTCACTCGAGGTGACCCCTACAATTATTATCACCCATTATCATCAAAGGCAGTCAATACTTGTCTATATTTTTGTGTGTCTCTTAGCAAAATATCTTGTGAAACTTCCAGAAAGTAACCACTGGATGTACATCTACAAGAGTCAACCTGATTCAGACGGCAGCCACGGCTGATTGAACTTAGTGAACACAAAAAATATCTCAGTCAGTTTTTAAGATACTGAACCACCGTTAGGTACCTTCCTCATCACATACTCCAAGAGGTAATAAATTATGCAAGATCTTTGTTAAAATCTTTGGCAAGAAAGGCAGTATGTCTTCATTCTAGAAGTAAACACACACACACACACACACACACACACACACACACACACA